GGGTAGATCATGCTCCTCTCACGGGACATGGTCAGGCCAGTTCTGAAATAGTTAGGTAAACGTTTTAGTGAGCATGGAACAAAAACTGGCATATTGCACCCATGATTTTATGTTTGATTATCATTCATAATGAAATAAAATTTAAAAATGTGGAAAGTTGTGGGAAAAAATTTAAGACATAATCATATAGATGTGCACTATTCAGTACAGCAGCTACTGACCACATGTGGCTATTTAAACTTAAATTGAAATTAATGTAAAGTAAAACTCAGTTCCTGAGTCACACGAGCCACATTTCAGTTGCTCAGTAGCCACAGGGGCTAGGGGCTACCATCTTGAACAGCACAAACATAGAACGCTTCCATCATTGTAAAACGGCCTATTGGGCAGTGCTGTGTTAGAGCTGCCTTCCACTAGATCAGTGTCTTTGAAGTTCACTGTAGCTCTAAATCAGTTCCCTTTAAAACTTGACTTGGCTCTGGATAAGTCTATATCCACCTGCACCATCCACCAGTCACCCGTTGGTGTTGAGCACTGGAAATATGGCTAGTCTGAATTGAAATAAGATTACACTAAAGTAAATGCAAAATACACATTGGATTTCAAAGTCCTAGTATGAATAAAGAGTGTAAAATATATCATTAATAATTTTATACTGACTCTATGTTAAAATACTATTTTGTGTATTGGATCAAACAAAATGTATTTTTGAAATTAATTTCACTTATTCCTTTTACCTTAATATTGCTATAAGAAAATTTTATTTGTATTTCCCTGATGCCAAGTGATGTGGAGCATTTTTTCTTGTGTCTGTTGGCCATTTGTATGTCTTCTTTGGAGAAATGTCTGTTCATGTCTTCTGTCCATTTCTTGACTGGATCACTTGGTTTTTTGGGTGTTGAGTTTGAGAAGTTCTTTATAGGTCTTGGATACCAGCCCTTTATCTGATATGTCACTTGCAAATATCTTCTCCCATTCTGTAGGTTACCTTTTAGTTTTATTGACTGTTTCCTTTGCTGTGGAGAAGCTTTTTATCTTGATGAAGTCCCAGTCATTCATTTTTGCTTTTGTTTCCCTTGCCTTTGGAGACTTGTCTAGCAAGAAGTTGCTGCGGCTGAGGTCAGCTGAGGGTTACTGGAGGGGGGATGGGTGGGGGAATGGGGTAATTGGGTGATGGGCATTAAGGAGGGCAGGTGATGTGATATATACAACTGATAAATTACTGAACACTACATCTGGAACTAATGATATACTATATGTTGGTTAGTTGAATTTAAATTTTTAAAAAATTTTTAAATAACTTATATGGCTTGCATTATATTTCCATGGACCTCTCTGCCCTATTATGTGACTCAAGTGCTATTTCCCTTTTTCTTTTCTAAATCTGTGCTGCCCAATACAGTAGCCATAAACCACTTGTGGATATTTAAACTGAAATTAATTAAAATTAAATAGAACTTAAAATTCAGTTCATGGGTCACATTAGCCACATTCCACATGCTCAGGAACCGCTTGTGGTTAGTGGCTATCATATTGCACAGCACAGATATGGACCATTTCCATCATTGTGGGAAGTTCTATCATACAGAGCTGATGTAGGTTGTACATAGTTATGGCAAAAACCACAGAGCTGGGGTGTGAGTGCCTAAAGCTTGAGAAGCATTTCTGGGGTTCCCAGCTCTGCAGCACATCACCCTCCCACCTCCTGGGCACCTGTCCCTTCCCACCTTTGTTAGACTTGTTTATGCACACCTTATCTCTTCTTTCCTGCAAGGGCTGTGGCGTGCTTATCTCCCACTGAACACACTTTCCTCCACCCTCCTGTACGTACGCGGTATCTAACACTTTGCTCTGCACAATATAGGTACTCAGTAAATATTTGTTAACCAGTTGGAGTGGCAATTCCTAGCAAGTAATTGGAAATATATGGCTGGAGCTAGGGGGGAGATCAGTAATGACTGGTAGCAGGGGGATTAAAAAAAATAGAAAGATCAAGTCCGGAAGGGAGGGGAACCGGTAGAGGGACAGTGGTGATCCGGGGATCTCATACGTGTCACCCACAAGCCCCTTGCAGGCAGCCACAAAAGTTGCAGGGGAATTCACAGGCTTAGGCAACGGCTATAGAAAAGGTACAGAAGACATCCAAAATATGATTACGTGATAAATAAACATGCAAGACCCATACATGAGAAGCTGAAATGGCATGAAAATTAAGGGTCTAGTGAGGAGAAAAATGAGCAGTGTTCTCTCCCTGGGCCAGCTGGTTTGAGTTACATTTTATGAGCAGCATGTGAATTCTAGTGCCCTTGTTGAATTAGCAGCCGAATCGCACGTTACTTTTAAGGCTCCCTCTCGAATAGGAACATCATAACACTTTTTAATTGGGGCTGATAAAAACGTAGCATTACTTGTAGGTTCCTGAGAGAAGTGAGTTGTGAAAGTGGGTTTTCATTAAACCTAATGATGGGAAATTAAGTATAGTGCGTCTGGTGAAATGGGGTGTGATAAAAGGCATCACTTCTGCATTATCGGAGGTTAATAAGGGAATAGGTGAGGTTAGATATATTGGAAAAGGGAGTCCAACTAGTTGAATTAATAAACCTTGAAAGCCCCTTGGTTCTGAGTCTTCATAGCATCATTAGCACCAGCGTTGACATTATTACAAATGTTACAGCGATACAAGTTGTTAAATTTCAAATGCATTTGTTTTCCATTCCAGTGTTGGTTTTGCTGACACCAAGTTTACAGTCTGTCTAGCAGTGTGTTTAGGGAAAATATCCATATTGGTTTGGGGAACATTTGGCATCTCACAAAATTTGCCAAGGGCCCATTCCCAAGATGCCTGTCTCTGCCAGGGAGCCAGCCTCCCAGGCAGTCCACGCCCCAGGGCCTTTGGGAGACCACGGGTCTCCAAAGACCTCCGTCCCCATATGCGCTGGTGGTTTAGGTGGGAGACACAGGGCTCCGGGCACAGACTCCAGCTCATGCTGTCCTGGGGATCGTGAAGTGCAGCATCTAGAGAAGCAAACTCAAGTGCCCCTTCCCCATCCCCAAGCCCACCATAGCATCACAGGAGTGATGTTCACTGGAAGGAGGCCTCATGTCAAGACAGCTGGGACACCTGCAGCAAAATAGTGTGTCCTTAAAGAGAGGAATTCTTCTTAAAGCCCTTCAGCAGCTGCCCACTGGCTTGGAGATTTTCACCCATTTACAGCCTCCTTGACCTACCTCTCATCATCTCTTACAGCTTTGCCCCCTCACATTTCCACCCACCACCTTCTCTCCATTCCAGCCTCCTTGCTCTTCCCTCAACGTGGTTGGCTTCTCTGGCTTCTGTTCTCGTGCTTCAGATGGTTCTTCTGGTCTGTCTGCCATACTAAACTATCGAGTCTCGAGGGTGAAATCTGTGTGCTGCACATTGCCAGTGCCTACCACATCCCTGGCATGTTGAGAGTGAGTTCTCAATAAATCTGACTCCTGATCCCATGGGTGTGGTGGAGAATAGCAACCCCCACATTTGCAAAGATCTACATTGAAACAATGCCAGTGAACACGTACTACCTGTTACCTACGATCCCAGAAGAAGTAAGCAGTATTTGTCTTCTGGGCGGTCAGGAAAGCTGTGCTAACATCTCACCTAGGCCCTTCCTCCTTGTACGTAAACCTATACACTCTAGATCTTTCCGTTGGCAATCCTTTCCTTGCTTGGAACAGTTTTGCTCTTGCTGTCACATAGAAAATTTCACTTTTATATACAGAATCAATGTCTGGGGGATTATTGTGACATGAGCGACAGACAAGCTAAGGAAACATGAATTTTGAAAAGACAAGTTGCAGAAAGTCAGGAATATATGCTAAAGCCTCCCAGGGAGTGAACATGGCATAGGCTCAAATGGGGTCTGCATGGGTACCTTGTGGGACCTGAAAACGCTGGGGTGAGTCACGTCAAATGTGGCAGTTCTCACCTCGTGCATGCCACACCAGGAGGGCCTAGGGCGTAGACTGTCCGTGTCTCTGGGAGGAGATGTGGGAAACCAAGCCTAGACGGTTGTGAGAAAGACAAAGTAGCCCTGAAAGACCAGCAATGTATGCTTGCCGGGGAGTCAGTGGGGCAAGAATGTGGTGGTTCTGGTACAAAGGGAACAGGGGGATTCACATTTAGCCTCAGCAGGATGGTTTCCAGGGTGGCCAAGCTCACAGAGGCCGGTCAGCGCAGCTCAGTGGGTATGAGGATTATTATCAAGGAGAGCATAGACCTTCCATCAAGGAGAGATTTGAGAAAGGAGACGGGGCATAGGACCCAGGCCTGGGAGAAGAAGCTAGCAGGACTAAAGGAAGAGGTTTGGGCTTCCTTACCCGACAGGTAGGTTCGGCGCCACTCCTGGATCGAGAGTGTTAAGCAGTGGGGAAACTAGACCACAAGCAGAAGGCGATCGCTGTTGCAGAGCCCACAGCTGGAGAGAGCGGCTGAGAGGGTCAGCGTGTCTGCTCCCGGTTGGGGGTCCAAGACTGGCTTCAGTTCCTCTCGCGGATGTAGGCAAATGGAGCAGGAGCAGACACGTGGCTCTGATCTCCAGAGACCTGGGGCTCTCCTCACTTGCAGGCAGGCACCAGAGATGATTTCCTGGCATCCTCCTTCCTAAACAGCCATCTGGCTTCTCACTTTTTCTGGGGTTGGCCAGGATTAGCCAAGACCACCTTTGTCAAGGACTGAGACAGACAGAGGATGACAGCCAACCTGGAATTTTGTCTCCGCTCCGATACGCACCCTTGGAATAGAATCAAACCCAAAGGGCTATTGTGTTCTTTGGTTGGTTTGTTGTTTTGATTTTTAAATTGACCTCCACAGCCATGCAAGGGGAGGCAGTGTGTCTTTGTTCTTCCTGTGGCTTCCTGATCACCTGAGTCCTGAGTTAGTTCCCCCTGCCCTGGGGGTGGCAGGGAGGACAGAGGACAAAACTCTCATAGGTGATGTGTGTTTTGCCTCCTTCTCTTTGAAGCAGATGGCAGCCGTGGGGAGCTGTCCCAGCCTACGCTCACGATCCAGACTCACCCCTACCGGGCTTGTGACCCCGTGGAGATGAGCTATCCCCGGGACCAGTTCCAGCCCGCCATCCGGGTGGCTGACCTGCTACAGCACATCACCCAGATGAAGAGAGGACAGGGCTACGGGTTCAAGGAGGAGTATGAGGTAAGAGACCAACCAGGGTGCAGAGGTTTTAGGGGTGCTAAATCCTTGGTCCCCAGACCAGCAGCATCAGCATCACTTTGGGGGCATGCTGGAGAGGCACCATCTCAGTCCCCACCCAGACATACTGAATCAGTTTCCATTCATACTTTCCTGCAATAGGAAGACAGAATGGCTCAAACCCCATCCCACCTGTTGTGTTAAAAAAAAAAAAAAAGCCAGTGATTTCTGGGGAGACCTGCTCTGGCCTTGTTATCTGGCTTCTGCTGCTCAACACCCATCCCACACCCCTACCAAGTCAGTATCACGTCTGGTGTCTGCTGCTTTCTCTCTCTGTACCTTCTCCTCGCCCCTGCTCATCCCTTTCCTCCCTCCCCAGAGCATCTCTAATGCAAAGGACTTTGTGAGTAGTGGTTGTTACTGAGGTTTGGGGAATAAGAGAAGGATTGCAGCAAAGTACAGGAAGTACCTGAATAGAAGCCCCCCTGAGGTTCTGGTCTCCTGACACATGTCTGTCCACTCCCTCCCGAAAGTCCTTTGTGATGTCGTCAAAATCTTCCTTTGTTTCCTTCTTCTTCTTCTTCCCAGCAGCCTGGAAAAGAATTCCTACACCCCCCTCGCTATTATGCAGAACAACTCAGCTTTCTCTGTCTCCCTCCTTTTGTTCCAGACCTTGCCCATTAGGCCTCACCTTTTACAAAGAGTAAAATAAAATAGGAGGAAAAATTCATTAAGATGTTTTCCTGGAAAAAAAAAAAGATGTTTTCCTGAACTAAAGGGCACCTCACGCCCCCAGAGGAATTTTGCAAGCCTCCTCCCGAAGCCAGCTCTGAAAACAAGCATTTCTTTCTTTGATTCTCCTTTTCCTCTCTCTCTCTCCCTCTCCTCCTTCCTTCCCAAAATATCTTTCGAGCATCTACTGTATGCCAGGCTCTGAGTTATATGTACTAGTTTTTTGTGGGTTTTTATTTCACATGCAGCATGTGCCCCAAATATGCTTGCTTCAGTTACACTGTGTGCAGTGGGAACGCATTGACTCAGACTCTACACATTTGGAATTCTTGATAATGCAGACTAAGTTTATCTCTCAGACTATATTCTGAGAAAAAGCTTACAAAGCGGTTTCACAAGCTGTGTGAGGTCATGAAATTGTGCTAAACTGGGGATCCAGACAGCCAGATTCCAATACAATAAACTGTGTGATATTAGCTTATCATTCTGCTCCCTGAGTTTTGAGATTCTTTATTAGTTGAGTGGAGAGTTTGGATAAGGTGATTTATAAGGGGCCGGTCTGGTCCTAACATTAGGAGAGTATAAAACACGGTGGCAGGGGGCACGTTTGACACACTTATGGGAACAAAAACGTTTATGTCAATGGATAGGAGTAATGACCAGCTCAAGAGAACGTACATTTAATTTCAAATATGGTCCAAGGAAAAGAGCATTTTCTATATGCTCAGTCTACAAGTTTTGGAGGAAATTGGGATAATAGTTGAAGGAGATTGTCTCATCACCTCCCGTCCCTGGGCCTTATTTCCTAGGAGTTTTGTTGAATAGTCCCAGCCCCTGAAAGTGTTATACACACGTGCTTATGCACACCTATGTAGCTCTGACTGGCGAGTGAATGTCAGGAGAGAGTGTGCTGTTGGTAAAGACTCATTCAGTGTCATGATGGTTTAATAAGTCATCAGCCCTACTATTTCATTTGTTTTAAGGTTTGAATAGCATTAAGGGAGACAGCTGACTTATCAGAACGGGGAACAAATAGTCAAAGACTGAGAAACACTATTCCAGACCCTGTGGTCTAACATCTGAAAAGAAAAATACAAATACATTTGACTCCTTTAGTACCTTTCTTTCCAGAATGATATCTTTTTTGAAAGTATCCATCCCTGTGTGATAGGATTTGGGTTGATTTTTAAAATTTATTTTTGTGCCTTTTTGAATTTTCTAAACTTTCTAGCATGGAAACGGTCCACTTTTATAGTGAGAGAGAAAACTGTGTATGTTGTTCCATCATTTCGACCTCAAACGGAAACATCGCTAACTAGACCAGCCTTGCGTTCAATCTGTTCAAATTATATTAATCAGTTAACTGGGATGTTTAGCTTCTAGTTAACCCATTTTCTGATTAACTGGAGCTTAATTGGGAAGAGTTACTTTATAGGAATCTTTCCACAATGTGCCCGTCCCCTTTCCTAGACTCGAGCTGGATATTGCTTTGATCATCAAAGCTCCCATGATGTCTGGAATCTATATAACGGGCATACGAATCGCAGGTCTGCTTGAAGACTGTGCTCTGTTGTAGACATAAGGTTCCTGGGCCTCCAATCCTACTGTCAAACCAACACGCTACGTCCTCTTTCTTGCCTGTCGCTTCTGCTCAGGTTTGTTTTGTTTTGTTTTGTTTTGTTTTTCTCATACAAATAAGTGGGTTTGACAAGTTGACCTCTCGGGCGGCTGGCTGGCTCAGTCGGTTCAGTGTCTGACTCTTGATTTCAGCTCAGGTCATGATCTCAGGGGTTGTGGGATCGAGTCCCACATGGGGCTCTGCGCTCAGTGGGGAGTCTGCTCGAGATTCTCTCTCTCCCTTTGCCCTTCCTCCCGCTCATGTAGTATGTTACACAGTGAAACATACTATTTGCTGTGTTAGAAACTACCCCAAATCTTAGTGACACAAAACAACCAATGTATTGTGCTCATTGATTCTGTGGGTCAGAAATTTGAACATGGCACAACAGGATCTGCTTCTGCTCCTTGGTGTCTGAAACTTTGACATGGAAGGCTCTAAGGCCGGGGCTGAAATCATCAGAGAGTGTCTTTCCTTTCATATCTAGTGATTGCTGCAGGCTGTCCGCTGGGATCTCAGCAGGATTGCCAGCTGGAACACCTACACATGGCCTCTTCAGGTGGCCTGGGCTTCCTCACAGCATGGTAGCCTCAGGATGTTGGACTTCTTACGTGGTAGCTCATAGCTTCAAAGGCAAGCCTCTTAGCTAATAAGGTAGAAAGTACATCATCCCTTGTGACCTAGACTTGGACATCATAAAGCATCACTATTACCTCATTGTATTGGTCATAAGCAAGTAATAACTGCCTATAGTCTAAGGAAGGGGAATTAGACTCCATCTCTTGTTGGATAGAGAGGTATTTGCAAGATTCTAAAAGAGAATGCAGAACAGGAGATATTGGAAAATACAATCTTTGGATGATACAATCTTCCACAAGTACCCTGGAAAAAGAAAGGGTGGAGAAAGGAAGGGAAATTGTATATTCCAGGGACATAAAGTAAGTGGGCTTCCAATATTAAATAGCATAGAAAGGTAGTCATTAATTAAAGGATAAGGTTTGAGCAGACACATGGTGGAAGAAATCTAGAGGAAGAAAGTTCCAGATCAGGGGAGTACAAGGAGGCCAAGAGTGATATGAGTAGAGTAATATAAGATGACATTGGAGAAGTAAAGGGGGATTTGACCACGTAGTGCCTTTGGCTTTTACTCTGAATGAAATGGAAAGCCATTGCAGAAATTTGAGAAGACAAATAACCATCTGACATTATTTTGCAATACTCCTTCTAGCTACTATGTTGAGAAGAGACGTAGGAAGGCATAAGTAGAATCAGGGAGACCAGTTAAGAGGCCATGGCAGTAGCCCAGGTGAGAGACAAAGGTGACACAATCAAGGTGTGGCAATGGAGGTGGTGAGAAATGGTTGGATTCTGAATATATCTTACAGATAGAACCAACACGATTTCCTAGTACATTGGCGTGGCATGTGAAAGAAAGAGAGGAATCCAGAGTGATTCCAGGGCTATTATCTGAGCCACTGGAAGGATGGAGTTATCACTATCGGATATGGGGAAGCCATGGGGAGAACAGACTTGGGGCCAATGGAACAACTGGGAATTCAAATTTGAACTGAGTTTGAGATGTCTATTAGACTTGATAGTGGAGATGGATAGTAGGTAGTTGGGTATATGAGTCTGGAATTTGAGAAAGAAGCCTGAGTTGGGGAGAAAACTTCAGGACTTACTGTCATATAGATGATATTAAAGCCATAAGACTGCTCAAAGTCATGAAGCAAGTGAGCATCGACAGAGATCATAACCAAGGACTGAGCCTTGTGGAATTTCAACTCAATGTGTGAGTACTCTACGTAGACCAGATGTTGTACTAGGCTCTAGGAACTGAGAAGAGATAGAGCCCTTGCCTTCTGGGAGAATTTAGAGCATATTCTTAGACACAGGCATATCAATTGATCACTTCAATATCTTGGCAAAATGTCACAGTCAAGTACTGTGCGAACCCTTGGGAGTGGCATGCGTTCATCCTAGCCTGGGGATGGATGGCCACTGGCTTTCTGGAAGAAATAAAGCCTAAACCAAAGCTTGAGAAATAGGAATAATCAGATGAAAGCAAAGAAGGGTGTTCTGAGCAGAGGGACTAGACCAGGCTACAGCATGGAGATATACATGGCAGGTTGAGTGAAGAGAACCAGAAGCAGTGTGGTACACAAACTATGTTTGTTGCACAAAGCATGGAGGGAGATAGGGCTGGAATTGTCAGAAGGAGTGGGCTGGAGTAAGGAAGCAAAGGTACATTTGTCAGGCTAAGGAATTTGAATTCTATTCTAGGGGTCATGCGGAACCATGGAAGGGAGCAGCATTTTTTTAAAGTTGAATTAGCATTTTAGATTTAATTGTCTGGCATAGATCAGAGCACGGAGACCAGGGGCATGTAGGCAGGTAGGCGACTAGGACACTAATTGAAGGAAAAGATGGAATTGCTCAAACCAGGAGACTGGGCCTAGAGCCCAGACAAGCCCACACACATTCTCTCATGTAGAGACATAAAATCAGCTCATGCTCTTTGGCATGTAAACTTGAGTCTCTCAATTATGTATTTTAAGTTCAGTGACTTGAATTCATGTATGAATCGTTCTGAGTTAATAGTCAAAACACCTGGATTCAAGTCCTGTCTCTTTCATTAAGGATCTGGGTGACC